ATTACTTTCAAATCTCACTGCAGACCCACAATTTTACGACCAAATAATAGATAAATTTGCAAGCTTAAAAGATAGACGTATAGTATTTTATATTTTTTAATACTTAGGTAGGGGTCGACTTTTTAGTTTTATTTTTATTTTTTGATTAATTTATTTATTTTTAACTTTTTTTAAGACTATATTTTTAATTTTAAGATAAAAACTAGTCTTTGATGTGATATTTTGTTTGTTTTGTTTTTTAGAGTTTATTTTTTGGTTTAGTAGGGCTATCGGCACCATTTTAAAAAAGGTCAACGCGTCGCAGAATAATACCTCCCAGGTGACGTGGAAATTTATTCGTATTTAGACAAAATTAACCTTATGTAGCCTCACCCTCCTGTACACCCACGAGCCGCCACTGATTTGGTTATAGTTTTTGTTGTCACTTTTTGTTTGATTAAAAATTAATTCAGGAGATAACAATTTGTTTTAATTAAATTAAAATCCATTATTACCATTATTCCATCACAAAACTCTTTTCAAAACATTGTTAATACTACACTACGAACAGTTTAGTAAAAGTTTTAAATTTTCTTTCACATTAAAAACCATTAAATTTATATATAAATCAGAGAACATACGACATGCACACGCACGACGATATATATTCGCAGTTTATAATAGAGCCTACTTCAGCCCGTGACTAAAATGCCCAAAAGCCACTGTGGTTAACTTCAGCCCGTGACTAAAGCGCCATAAAGTCACAGATCTTCAATGTAGGAGTAGATAAAATAAATTTTGCATCTAAAAAGTATATTATGTATCAAGTTTGATAAACGCCATTTTATACACGTATTTAATTTAGCGAGCTTACGAGCGAGTGCTTAAATTAATGAGTTTATAGAAACTACGACAAATACTTATTATTATCTTAAAATAATTTGAATCAAATATTTGTATAGAGCGCCATCTATGAAACGATAGGGGAATCTGTGTCACCGTCAAATGTCAAATTTTTCTGTTTTGGGGGTTTTAAAGGTGGGAGTAGAAAATAGAATATTATGTATCAAGGTTTATAGACTCCATTTTAGTTACGAGTTTAATTAATCAAATGCGAAGCTTGCGAGCAAGTGTTTAATAAAAACTACTGTCTGCATACTATACTTTATCTACGACGAACACAAAACAGAATTTAAAGCCAATTTAATTTGTTAAACATTTGACATCTGTCAACTGTCACCCGAATTTAACCTCACTTTTTCACAATTTATAATAAAGCTAACTTAATCCCGTAAGTAAAAGCCACTGTTTCTAAATTTAGTCCGTGACTAAAACTCCATTAAGTCACAGCTTATGTCATAGCTAGTCAATGTAGAAATAGATAAAAGAGTTTTTTTGCTTAATCGGATAAATCTATATCTTTATCTAAATTATTTAAATTTTGAAGAATAAAAAACAATATCTTTACACAACATAATATCTTTAATTTTTAACTTTTATAAAACAAATGAAAAATAAAAAACAGTTATTTACACACCCAAATATCTTTACTACATTGTTTCATATAATTTTTAAATATTAATAAAATTTAAATTGGTATAAAATAAAAATCTAATTATTTTACTTTAAATTTTTTATAATTTTCCGCTATCTCATACTATTTTATGTTTTTATTGAGTGTTCTTATTTAAAAATACATTTTTCATCTAAAAAAGAGTTTTCATCAGATAAATCTACATCCTTGTATTAATTATTTAAATTTTGAAGATAGTTTTTTCCCATTTTTAATGCATTTCCGTTATACGTATTTATTAAATTAGTAAACCATTGTTTATAATATTAAAAGATACCAAAAAATACACGAATTATATCCAAATAACTTATTTACTACATATAAAAACACTGTTTATAGAGAAACTAAACTAAAACTCATATTCGGCACGTGCAGCGATAACGTACTTTTGTCACTCAATGATGTCAGAAGATAAAGAGAGACGGAAGATGAAGATACGCGTGGATAATATCCACTGGATATTAGGGTCTTTAAATTAAAATAGCATTAGTGTGGAAAAGTTGCGTATTGTAATCTCGATTACAAATGTGAAAGCTAACGTACTTTTGTCACTCAATGACGCCAGAAGATAAAGAGAGACGGAAGATAAAGATACGCGTGGATATTAGGGTCTTTAAATTAAAATAGCATTAGTGTGGAAAAGTTGCGTCTCTCGATAACAGATGTGAAAGCTTTTTTAAAATTAAAAATATTCGCGTTTTTATCCTATAATATTAAATTTTCAAAAAATTATTAATTATTTTAATTTGAATATACATTAGCTTGCAAGTCTTATTTTAGTATACAGATAACCCATTTTTGTTTTTTTGCTCTTAAAAAAGGTATAGTGTTTTTTAAAACTTGCTATTCTTTTTTCTCATGCGGACTCTGAAGATGATCGAAAATTTAGTAATTTTTTATTTTTAACGTATTGTAATGGCCCGTAATGTGTAAAGCAAGTCAAGAAAAAAAATATTTTGCTTACCCTATTGAAAAAAAAACACATATTTTTCAAATTATTTGCCATTTTTTGTTTTACATAATATGTGAAACAAAAAATGGCAAATAATTTGAAAAATGCGGACCCTGATTTTTTTTATTATTATTAAACTGTATACCAATGCGCAACTTTTGGCGTGTAATGTGTAATCCAACTAAAAAAAAATATTTTTCGCTCCACCCTAGTGGACATACCTTGTTGTCTTGGTACCATGATTAAAAACCAACATTAATTATTGCCAGACGCATTCCAGGGGGATTAACTTCCGCCAGACGCTTTAAAGCTCGAGAAGAAAGGGCTGAACCTACGTTATAGTAGTACTCCTGAATGTTCTATATAGTATTTGGCTTGATTATTTTAAGACCTTTTGTAATCCGCCAGACCAATCCGAAGGGCCTTACCCGCCCCAGAGGCTTAAAATCTTGAGAAAAAATGGGAAAACCTACGTTATAGTAGTACTCCTGAATATATATATATATATATATATATATATATATATATATATATTTACATATATATATAAAATTCATTAGTGTTACTGTTCTTAGTTAAGGGTGTCTCAATAGGAACGGCGGGTTTAAATATCGCCATGTTCCTATTTTTGCAAAGTGCAACCTTGAAAATGATTTCTGTAGTGTAAAAACCTTCAGATTTTATACGTCATTGAGCGGTAGCGGTATTCTCTAAAACAACGTGTTACTATTCTTAAGACTCATTAAAAATATGAAGAATGCTATTATTAATTGTTATGCAGAAACCGTTCGAAAATTACGTCCATTATTCGGTCGTGCTAATGCTCCAAATGAGACGACAGTGCGAAGGTTGGTGATTAAATTTATGGAAATTGGTTCAGTTGGGGACATACAAATACCTGTGCGTCGTCGTACTAGCCGATCTGTTGAAAATATTGCAGCAGTACGGAAAAGTGTTAACAAAAATCCTGGAACCTCGATTTGTCATCATTCCCAACAAATGGCTATTTCAAGAAGCAGTTTACAGCAAATTTTAACAAAAGCTCTTCATTTGCATCCATACAAAATTCAATTAACACAGGAGCTAATTCAATGTTGTCATGCATAATGGGAAGATATGTACTTTATGTCGAAATAGTATCAAAACGTCTGTAGGGTTAGGCACTTCGGCCGGATTGATCTGGCTGCTTACAAAAGGTCCTAAAATAGTTACCCAAAAAATATATACGTATATAAAATTCAAGAGTACCTAACCGTAAGTTCTCCCATTTTTTTTCCCGAGTTTTAAAACGTCTGGGGGGCTACAAAAGGTCTTTAAATAGTCACCCAAACAATATATATAAAATTCAGGAGTATTTACTACTATAACGTAGGTTCTCCCATTTTTGTCTCGAGTTTTAAAACGTCTGGGGGGGTAAAGTCCTTCGAATTGGACTGGCTGCTTGTAAAATGTCTTAAAATAATTACCCAATTAATATACAGGGTGTCCCAAAAGTCAACGATATCCTTTGAAGGACTAATAGGTCAGCTCATGACTAATCAGATTATCAAAACATGACCTTAGTAAAAAATCATTAGTTTTTAAGATATTGGCATTTTTATGAATTTTGTGAAACTTGACACATAAAATCAGTTTTTCGAATGCCACAACTACTACATTCCATATTCTTAGATTACCTATGTTTTATTTTGCGTAACCCTGAATAGGACTGCTATTAACTACAATTCAAAATTAAATTAATAGTAGATTTTGTAGCTGTGGCACTCGAAAAACTGATCTAAGGTGTCAAGTTTTACAAAATTCATAAAAATGACTATATCTCAAAAAATAACGATTTTTTACTAAGGTCATATTTTGATTTTCTGCTTAGTCATGAGTCCAAAGGATATCGTTGACTTTTGGGACACCCTGTATACAAAATTCAGGAGTACTAATATAATGTAGGTTCACCCCTTTTTTTAGCTTTAAAGCGTCTGGGGCGGGGCACAATGGACTGAAATAGCAAAAAAGTGGCCAAAATCCATTGAAAAAAACTAATAAAGATATCATTATGAAATTTTAACACCATATATTTGGGGTATAAATCTTGATCCTCGATACAAATTTTAATTTTAAACGATTGAAATGTTTTTAACACAAGTTAAAAATTTAGTCAGTTTAAAAACTATTAAAAATATAATCTTAAAATTGTATGACTAATTTCATATATTAATAATCTTGATCCTGTAGAAATTTTAAGTTAATTGAATCAGTGCGGCGATTTTATAAGGGTTAAAATGATTAAAGTTTTGTTAAAGTAAGTTAAAAATTAAATTATTTTATAAACTATTTAAATTTTAATTATGAAATTTTAATACAATTTTAATAATATAATATTTGGCAAAATCTATTTTATTCCCAGTTCCCAAATTTACAAAATTCCGAAGTAAAATTTTCACTAGGATTTTTTTCAAATTTTGCCTAATTTAAATATATCAATAAAAAAAACGTACTTACTTAAATTCTGAAAGTTTTCTTTTTGTACACCAGTGCCGTTATCAGAAACTTCTAAGATTTCAGAACCATATTCTTTCAAATGAACATCTATTATTGTGGCACCTGCATCAACTGCATTTTCAACTAGTTCTTTCATTGCTATTGCCAGACTGTAAACCACCTATAACATTAAGGGATCAATAAAGGGGTGCACTACTTTTTAACAAATTAAATAATAAATAGCCCTGCTTATTTTTAAATTATTATAGTTCAACCATTCCACGCTACTCGGGAATTTTTGTAGCGTCCGTTACAATCAAAAATTGTGATTAAAAGCTACCGTAATTAAATTAAATACTGTTACAATAGTTAATATTGCAAACATGTTTATTATGCTTGTAATAATTAGTCTTAAACTTATAAGCATAATAATTACGGTAGTTTTACTCACAATTTTTTATTGTAACGGACGCTACAAAAATTCCCGAGTAGCGTGGAAGTTGACTTTAAGTTAAAATTGAAAAAAGTAAGGTTAAAGCAACTTGACAGCTGTAAGATGTCAGATAAAATATCAAATAAAATTGGATTTACATTTCTTCTGTTAGTTGAATAAAATATTGTGTGCATATTGATCAAAATATATTTCACTCGCATGTTACTTTACTCGATACGCTCGTGCAGCAAACTCCACGCTCGAGGAACCTCCTCTTTCTCCCACTACTCGCATAATAGTGTATAACACGCGAGTTGAATATCATCTTTTGACCAATAGTCTGTAAGGATACAAATTACGACATCTATAAAATGATGTTCCTAACTCAGGGGCGGTTTGTCCTTAAGTGCTGCAGAGCTGCAGAACCACCAAAAATAAAAGTAAAAATGTTAATTTCTAATGCTATTATTATTAATAATGATTTAATTGATTATTATAATTAAATAATATCAAATCAGCAAATAATAAAAAGTTTATGGTTAGATTTTTAAAGAGCCTGCTGCGCGTTTTGCGAATCCAGTTAGCCGAATGGATATTAAAGCAAAGCACGTCTAGTAATGTTCATTACATAGCTGCTCAACATCCTTGTTCTGCTAAAGCCGACCTCGTGCTTTCGTTAGCCCCCGCCTGCCATCGGTTAGGTTCGTTGTTACACAATTTACGGTGGAAATGAGCTGCAATTAGTGCAGATCAGTGCTCGGATATTTGAAACCGTGTCGACGTCCGTACTCCGTCTTACCTGATCTGATTGGGCCGATATGCTATACGGGGTTTTAAACCTAATAGGTAGTCAAATCTAGCGCGCATTTCAGGACTCTTGGATAAAAATTCATATTTATACAACCGTTGAAGTTAGCGACTTAATTTTTTTTTTGAAAACTTTGTTAATGTTTTGACTATATTTGACTCGATATATATGTAAAGAAATTTTCAATAATTCACGCTCACCGCAGAGTAAAATTTTTGTTGCACGATTTTGATCATTCTAAAATTTCTGAATTGCTATTAGAGGCGATCACATTTCAAGTATAAGTATGCAAAATCTTTTTATATTATTATTATTATATTATGCAAAATATGGCAATTTACTAAAAAAATTAATAATTTTTAATGCCAAGCAATCAATTTTTCTAAAATCTGTTGCAGATACAAACAAAGGAATAATAATAATAATAATATTTTTGGGACACATTTTTTTTTTTAAAAATCACTAATTAATTTATATCCGGATTTTGTTATTTTTAAGCATTCCGAAGGGTAAATGTGTAGTTAACGCCTGGCAAAAAGGGCCAATTAATTATAAATTTAATAATGAAGTTTAATTTCATAAATAACCAAATTATTAATATTATTATGGAATTTTTAATAATAATCGTGTACACATCAGCATATGCAATTGGTTGTTTTCTGGACCACCAGTAACGTATTCGAGTATAAATACAACAGAAATTTCTGTTGTTTCTCCAGTACGATAAATAACATTGTTCAATAGTCAGACTGTTAACACAATTGTGTTTAAGCAATAGGCATTAGAGGGTAAAAAATAAAAACAGGGAAAACTCGATGTTATCTATTGAAATTTTTTTTATCGCATCAATACAAAACTTTAACGAAAAAGTAATTGATAAGTTTGCAGCAAAGAAGGAAAGGAGCATTGTATTACAGTTTAAAAAATGAAATAAAGCTTTTCTACTTAAACTGATATTTTACTTTACTTTTACTTTACTTTTTTTGCAGAACAGGCAAACATTTTTAGCACGGGCCGCCACTGTCCTAACTACCCGACGTCAAAGAAAGAGTTGGACTACCAGAAACCTGCAGTTAGACTGAACTCTGAACAGATGGGCTTTGACAGTTGTCAACACCTGTTGCACACGGCCCGTGTGACGGATTTATTTCACACGGCCCCAATTGTTTTTTATCAAGCCTGTCATCAGAATTTCGTCTATAAAACCGCTGCATGGTGTTACCAATTGTGAGCCCGAAAACCAACACTAAATCACAGAGAACTCTCAGTGGAATATTATCAGTAAATTAACCTGTTTCTAATATGTCAGGGCTTTATGCCGTATAATATTAAACTTTAATAACAGAGTTAATTAAACTGTAAATCCTGTATGCATAAAACATAACCTAACAATATGTATTTTTCCCCTAGAGTCCAATTGCAAATCTGCTCTGTCTTTTTGTAGGACTGAAAACCATACCCGTGCCTGTCAGTTGCCTGTGAAAAGCCCTGGAACATTTGCCTGTCCTGATTAAAGGCTATAAAAGAACCTTTGTGTTGACAGTACGATACTTTTGTAAATACTTACTGTATATAATGTATATAATAATTCTCACAATCCACACAACAAGGTCTGTTCTATCTCATGCTAAAAATACTAAAAATCACTGCAACACTGCACAGAGTTTAACGGCGGCCATTTTTGTTGTTTACAATTCTTGTGCTTTGGGTTTGTGCTGTTTAATAATTGTTTTAAACGTTGTTTCTTACAGAAGCACTTGTAAGCCTCAAATAACCCCTTTAAGTGCTAAGGACAACCATTTTACTCCTCTTTTATAATAAATATACCTTATTCTATCAGGGCTGTCAAATGACATTTTGAAGTTTAATTTGTGGGTTATAATTTAACTTCAAAATTGACATTTGACAGTTTTATGACAGCCCTGATAGAATAAAGTTTATTTTTTACAATATAGGAGTAAAATGGTTGTTCTTAGCAATTTAAGGACTTAAATGCTTACTATGAAAAACACAACGTTTAAAACGATTATTATGTAAGTATGTATAAACAGAGTACAAACCCAAAGCACAAAAATTGTAAACAACAAAAATGGCCGCCGTTAAACTGTGCAGTGTTGTAGTGATTTTTTGTATTTTTAGTACGAGATAGAACAGACCTTGTGTGGACTGTGATAATTCTATGATTTTGTACATATTTTTACCTGGGTAAATAAACCAGTTTAAGTTATTTTTTCATTTTAAATTAGACCACCAACCTTAACTGATTCTTATAAACCCTACTTTCTCCACTTAATAAAAGCAACCCGAGGTAGGTATTCCTCTGTATCTGGAGAGTCAACCGAAGAGGAACCTTGCTAGAGTACTTAAGGCCATAACCAGTCTAGGTACAACACGAATTTGGCGCCCGAGCACTAGGACCCGGGTTTTCCTGAAAATTCCTGTAACCTAACCTAAAAAGTTTTTATAGAAAACATAACTTGCAAAAATCCCATGAGAATCAGTAAGGTGGTTTAATTATTACATACTAAAATGACAAAAACAAAGACCAGCCCGTCAAAAAAAAACCAGAAGAGCAAGGTAAAACCCAAAGCACTCTTTAGGCAGAGGCTGTAAATTCTTCGACAGAAGGTACAGCTGGCACAGGGGTAAAACAAGGACTAAGCTGGCTATACACCCTGCGTAAGGAAGGTTTTTGGTTTGGAAAATTCCGGCACAGTAAACGAATTACGTTTACGAGTGCGAAATCATGTCACCGAAGACAAACAAGCACCAGCTAATATAACACTTTGGGAAGCGTCAATTTTAGGTACACCATAAGATGATCGAAAGGTCTGTGACCAGGTTAGAAAGTGAAATGTACACTTTGATGGCAATACTAATGCAGTTTCATTCCTCGAAAGAATTCAAGAGCATAAAATATGCTATGATTTTGAAGAGAAAACTGAAAGCATTACCGGAACTGTTAAGGGGCAGTGCCCTATTGTGGTATAGAAACTGGAAAGCTGGCTGGGAAGAATGGGATGATTTTGTAGAGGATTTTAACTTATTTTCCCAGTAGGTATACCGAGGACCTACTCGAAGAAATCTTAGTACATGATTGGCATCCAGTCACTTATGCAACGACATGGAAAATACAGCTAAGGAGAAGAGTTGTACACCCTGTATAAAAAACTACGGCCAGAATATCGTCAATACATCCGACGCGCCTATGCCAAGTCGTTTAAAGACTTAGTGGGACAGGCAGAAGAATTTGAACGACTACAAAAAGAGACAGATTCACAAAAACTTGCCAGGGCGGTTCAAATTCCGCAAGTAGCCCCAATCTTGCTGTCAAAGCAAAATTGTACCCCAAACCGACAGGTGAAACCACCTAATACCCCAGTATATGACAGAAAGCGTATATGCTGGCGATGTGGCAAAGAAGGTCATTTTCGCACGGAATGTCGCGAAAGGGAGCGTATTTTTTGTTCTAGATGTGGTAAGCAGCATGTTATGTCAAAAGACTGCACATACCCACGTCCGAAAAACACCAAAGGGAACAGGAACTGAAGTCGTCTAAATTCCCGCCCCTACCGGCTTCACCAGGACCGTATTTGGGACAAAATATACAGGGTGAAGCAAAAATCCCCACGATTAATCCAAATTTTGTAGCCAATGAACCCGCAAATGTGGCAAACGACTCCAGGATGTTCAATAAATTAAAAATTAAAGGAATGAAATAAATGCTCTTTTGGACACCGGAGCATTCCATTTCATTCCTTTAATTTTTAATTTATTGAACATCCTGGAGTCGTTTGCCAGATAGCATAGAGACATCTTAAATATATCTTAAAGATGTCGGACTCGGACGTTCATGACATCTTTAAGACGTCCAGTTTACGACTTAAGTCTTTAAGATGTCGTTTTAACGGCATTATTAAGTCGTTTCTAAACGTCGTCA